TCCGTTTGACAGTGGGCCCCATTGTCAAATGGCCCCCGGGTCTCCGTTTGACAGTGGCCCCCAATGTCAAATGGTTCCCAGGTCCCCGTTTGACAGTGGGTCCCATTGTGAAATGGACCCTGGTACTTGTTTGACAGTGGGCCCCATTGTCAAATGGCCCGCACTCCCCCCGTGGGACTTGTTTGACAGTGGCCCCCACTGTCACATGGCCCCCAGCCCCCCCGGGGTCCCCCTCTGGAGCCTGTTTGACAGTGGGGCCATTGTCAAATGGCCCCCAGGCGCCCCCCCCCGGGGGGACCCCTGGAACCTGTTTGACAGTGGGGCCCACTGTCAAATGGCCCGGAGGCCCCCCTCCCGGGGGGACCCCCCTGGAACCTGTCTGACAGTGGGGCCCACTGTCAAATCGGCCAACCCCCCAGGGACCTGGGCGAGCGCAGTCCGGGTGGTTGACAGTGGGGCCCACTGTCAATTGGCCCTCCCAGGGCCCCCTGGCCAGGGGGGGGGGTCAAATCGCCGGTTTGGGTCCAAAAGAGCCCGTGGTTCGCTCGGGCCGGGCCCGGGGGGGAGGGGTCGAATCGTCGGTTTGGGGTCCCATGGGAGGGGTTAGGGGGGGAACTATCTCGCACGCCTAGAGACCCACAAGGGGTCGGCGGATTCATATGGCTAATTCGGTGAGGTATGGCGCCGATTTCGGCGGCACGCCCGGGTGTCTGGGTGCCCAGGTGCCTGGGTGCCCGGGTGCGCGGGTGCCCGGGTGCCCGGGTGTCCTACAGACCTATAGCCCTATAGCCTTATAGCTTTCTAGCCCTATAGCCCCATAGCCCTATGGCCGCCGAACAGGCCTATAACCCTATAGCCCTATAGCCTTATAGTTTTATAGCCCGATAGCCCTGCAGCCATATAGCCTTACAGCCTTATAGCCCCATAGCCCTATAGCCCTATAGCCCTATAGCCCTATAGCCTTATAGCCCTATGGCTCCATAGCCTTATAGTCCTATAGCCCCATAGCCCAATAGCTCCATAGCCCTATAGCCCTTTTTTTCAAGTTGTTTTTTTTTCATATATATATATATATATATATACATCCGTAAGGGCTTCGCCCCCTGCCGCCGACCCCCTCTCTCGGAGAAAGGGGTATGGAAGAGCTAAGTCATGAGGCCTTGGCGCTGTCGTGAAGCATTATCGAAACTTCATGCGAAGCCGAGTCGCAATCAGCAAAACCAACTGATCACAAGAGGGGTTACCACACCTGGCGATTGGTAAGACGTGTATGGTTGAAGGGCTTGGTTACCACACCTTGCGATGAAAGGGCCGAAGGAGTTCTCGCAGTTTGGGTTACCACGCCTTGCGATGGATGTGCGTGATGGGTTCGAATTTCAGAAATGTGGCAAATCCCCTGTGTTTTTGGACCCTGACCCCGCGGATCTGCGTAAGGGGTGGCGCCGAATTTCAGAAATGTGGCAAATCCCCTGTGTTTTTGGACCCTGACCCCGCGGATCTGCGTGAGGGGTGGCACCGAATTTCAGAAATGTAGCAAATCCCTTATGTTTTTGGACCCTGACCCCGCGGATCTGCGTGAGGGGTGGCACCGAATTTCAGAAATGTGGCAAATCCCTGTGTTTTTGGACCCTGACCCCGCGGATCTGCGTGAGGGGTGGCACCGAATTTCAGAAATGTGGCAAATCCCCTGTGTTTTTGGACCCTGACCCCGCGGATCTGCGTGAGGGGTGGCACCGAATTTCAGAAATGTAGCAAATCCCCTGTGTTTTTGGACCCTGACCCCGCGGATCTGCGTGAGGGGTGGCACCGAATTTCAGAAATGTTGCAAATCCCATGTGTTTTTGGACCCTGACCCCGCGGATCTGCGTGAGGGGTGGCACCGAATTTCAGAAATGTGGCAAATCCCCTATGTTTTTGGACCCTGACCCCGCGGATCTGCGTGAGGGGTGGCATCGAATTTTAGAAATGTGGCAAATCCCTGGTGTTTTTGGACCCTGACCCCGCGGATCTGCGTGAGGGGTGATGATTTGGAGCCCCCCCAGCAATTCAGACAACGCGCCCAGGGGGTGCTAAAAATCGTGTTTGGGCCTCCCCCCCCCTCGCGCGGTCAATCAACTAGTTACAGTAACCAGCAAGAAGCAAACTTGTAACACTGGAAACTACAAGCTACAACTGGTACTGGAAACTGCGAACCCGTGCCTCGCAGCCTGGTGGCCCCACAAGGGGGCCGCCGGATATAGATATGTATCATATTGGATGCGCTGTTTTCGGCGCTCGCTCCTTGTTTCCCTGCGCCCGTCCCTGTATGCTTCCCATTTCTGATTCCCACCCGTCTTTTATCGCGCTCCATGCTCACGCCGCACTGTCTTCAGTCCGACTGCTCGGTGCCACGGCGCCACCGCTCCGTTCCAGAACCACGCCCCCGGCGCGTGGGGAGCGCCCGTCCGTCCGTCCGTTCCCCTCCCCTCTGTTTTGCGATCGGTCAGGATACGTCCGGTAGACCCAACAGGGGGCCATTTGAGAGGGGGTGGGGCAGCAGATTTGGTGCAATAGATTGGAGGGGTTTGCAATCGAAGTGAGGCGTGCAGTACATTTGTCACACAATTGCCCCAAATCCTGTGCACCATCCCCTTTGAGTTAAGTCGTGCCTGTCCCTCTACAGCGGGAATGTTCAAAATGAGTCAAAAAATGGTCTGGGGACCATGTTTTGAATATTTTTTTGACCATTTTGGAGCGTTTTTCGAGTACTTTTTAACTTTCGTCGAACATCCCCCTGTAAGGGGACACGCCCGACCGAATCTTCTGAGCTGGACCTTTGCGTCGACCAACATGCTGAGGTCCCTCGTGGCGCCCAGGCGAGCGCTCTGCGACGCCGAGCGCCCGGCACCGCGGTGCCGGAGAGCGTCGGCCGCCAGCAGACACTCCGAGCCATTCGGTGCCCTCGCTCAAGCCTTACGTCGGGCCTGTCCCTCTACCGGAGGAAAATCCAAAAATAATCAAAACATCGCCAGGGGATTTTTTTAGGAGCATTTTCTGGCCAGTTTGCAGTAGCATTTTTGGGGGTATTTTTGATTCGTCGTCGAAAAGCCCCCTGTAGGGGGACACGCCCGACCTAACTCAAGCCGGCCCGCGCGACTCCTGCTGCGATGCGTCTTCGCGGTTTCTGTCGAGGGTTTTGTCTGTCGATGGCCCGCCCCTGTTGTCGGGGCAGCTCTGCCAAGGCGGCTCCCGCCCCCCCCCCCCCGGCCCCCTCCCGCCCCCCGCTGTGCTCCCCTGTCGCCTGCCAGCCTTGCACGCCCCCCCAGTCGTCGTCAAACCGTGGAACCCTTTGGGGGAACACTTGGGGAAGGAGAGGGAGAAGCGAGGGCGCCCTCGAGGGCGCGAAGTTATTCGCGCTTCGCGCTTCTCGGTCCGGCTCCGATTCCTCCTCGTCCTCTTCTGCTCCCCTGGGGGGCGTCGCGAGAGCGCGAAGTGATTCGCCAATGACCAGGACGAAAATGATAACACATAGCCAGGGGGACGATTTTTGAATCTTCGTGGGTGCTTTTCGCGTATTTCTGAGCTTTCTCTCAAAATCCGCCTGTAGGAGGACATGCGCGACCTAACACCACCACCACCACCACAGTCAACCCGGTCAGCGAGGATTAGCAGCCCTTCCCATATGCACCTCTACATCCTTCCCGTGCGGTCCATCCTCGGCCGCTCTCGCTGGCCGCGCCCCGCTCGCGAGGTGCCGACACGGCCTCCCAAGGCCCCGGCATCCGTGTCGCGCGTCCTTCTTCATATTATACCCGGCGGCGTCCTCCTCCTCCTCCTCCTCCTCCTCCTCCTCCTCCTCCTCCTCCTCCTCCTCCTCTGCGGAGGTGATTCTGCCAGTGCCGTGTCTGCCGCGTGGCCGAGCGCCGAGCCGAGTGCAGTGCAGCGTGCCACTCCGCAGGCGTGGCGGCACAGGGCGCCTGCCCGCCTCATCCGCTGCCGTGTGAGTGGCCCGCCCTCCCAGTCTGACAGGACCGGAGGCCGGGGCGCGCCTTCTCAGAAGGCTCGGAAGTCTCACGGCCCTCCGAAAACGGTTCGACGCCTCCCCCGAAGGCGCGGCCAACTCCTCGGAAGGCGCGGGTGGCAGCTGACAGAAGTCCCGCCGCCTGCGGAGGAGGCCTTCTCCTTCTCACCTTTGCCCCCTCCCTCGCTCGCCGCCGCAAAGACGGGTTGGCCTCTATCCTTCTTTGGGCGCGTTAACGAAACGACTTCGCTTGTCTGGGTCGTTATTATAGGGGTGTTTTTTTTGACTTCTATTCTATGCTTAGGTCGGGCCTGTCCCCGTGCAGGGGGATTGTAGGCGAAAGAGATCCAAAACATATTGCAGAGTAAGCAATGATACTACAAAAACGTCTCCAGACTATTTTTTTACTATTTTTGAATGTGCCCCCTGTAGAGGGACAGGCCCGACTTAATTCCATGCAGTGACCACCAGCACCACCCGCTCCGCATGCCCGCCGTGCCGCCCGGCGACGCGTGGGCTGTGAGAGGGGCTAGGCTGCGCGGCGGAGCGCCTGCGCTCCGTCGGCCGCGGGCCCCCTCGCGGGGGGACCCACGGCCCGCGCGCCGGCGCGCCCGCCGCTGGAGGGAGCCGCTTCTGCCTCCCTCTCCGTGCTGCGCGGATGCCGCCCACCCGCCCCCCGCCCAGGGCCCTTCTCGACTCCTCCGATTTGATGGGGTTCGACTCCGTTGGGCTCCGCTTCCGATGCCATTCGGCTTCGAGCTCCGATGCGGGCCCTGGCGTCTCGGCGGAGGCCCATATCAGTTTGCCGATGTCTACCGATGCGACTTCTCCCGACTCGGCGGCCGATTTCCGCCGAGCCGACTCGTGTCGATCGCCGATCCGACTTGCCGATTCGATTCTGGGCTCTCCTGCCCCCCCCCCCTCTGGGCGAGGTGGTGGAGGAGGAGGAGGAGGAGGAGGAGGAGGAGGAGGAGGAGGAGGACCCCCCCCTCTGGGCGAGGTGCGGCACGGCGAAGCCCCCGGAGGCGGGCCAGGCCATGAGCGGGGGCCAGGTCGGGGCTTGACCCGAACATGGTGCTTCGGCGTCTTCCCCTGGCCCGCTTTTTCGTGCCGATGATCGTTTTGCCAGCCTAGGCTTAGGTCGGGCGTGTCCTCCTACAGGCTCTTGCTGGGCGAGAAATCTAAAGTAGTACGACAATGAGCAGGAAGAGTCAAACATAGTAGAAGAGTCGTCCCTATACTAGTTTTTGACTATTCTGGAATTTTCCTCCTGTAGAGGGACACGCCCGACTCAAGCACAGGCGGAGCGACGGCAAAACGAGGGAAAACGAAAACAGCAGCACGAAAGCGAAAAGCACTCTTTAGGTCGACCCCTGGGCCAGGTCGTGACGGGCGGCGGCTTCGTGCTGCAGAACCGGCCGGGCGACTGGAACTGCCCCGGCTGTGGCGACCACGTCTTCGCGAAGAACTCCACGTGCAGGCCGATCCCGCCGCTGTGCCTCGGAGGTGCCTCGGCTTCCTGCAGTGTGCGCTCGTCGGAGCTTTCTCTCGGAGCCTGCCTGGGGCCTCTTCCGGCCTTCCCTGGGAGCCTTTTGGGATACCTTCTGGGGCCTCCCGGAGACCTCGCCGGGGCCTCTGGGGGGGTCCTGGAGCCGTCTTGACATGAAGGCTTCCCCAGTGTTCTGGCGGTGACGTGCTCTGGGCCCCCCCTGGCCCGCCCGGGAGGCCTCTCTGGCTCCTCTTGGGAGCTTCGGGGGGCCGTCGTGGTGGCCGTCTCGGTGGCCCCTGGGGCCGGTCTTGGTGGCCCTTGTGGCCGTCTTGGAAGCCCTTGGGACACAAAGGGGAGAAGGCACACACCATACCACCACCTGCTGTTTTGGTCTGTTTTGGTCTGTTTGCTTGCTTGCTTGTTTGTTTGGTTGTTTGTTCTTGTGTGTGGTTTGCTTGCTTGTTTGTTTGTTTCTTTGTTTGTTCTTGTGTGTGTGTGTGTGGTGAGTTGTGTGTTTCTGTGTGTGTGTGTGGCTGTGGGGGTGCAGACAAGTATGTTGGGGGCTCTTGGGCCAGCCTGGAGGGCCTCCAGAGACGGCGCACGATACTCCCCCCTTCGGCTCCAGGACGGGCCCCGCGGACCACCGGAGGGCATGCCGGAAGCTCTCGTTCGGGAGCCTAAGAGACGGGGGTCAGTGCAGACGGGGGTCAGCCAGGGCGCCAGATCCTGCAGGATCCTGCGAAGACCCCCTCTGGCTGACCCGGGTTAGCGAGCCGCTCGTGGCCGCGAGGCGGCCGCGCCTATTGGCTGACCCGGGTTTGCGAAGACCTGCGTTGCAGTTTTTTTTTCCTGCATTGCAGGTTTTGGTTTCCTGCTGACCCGGGTCTGGATCGACCCGGGTCAGAAGATCCCCGAAGCGTGGCCAGAGCGTGGCCAGTGCTTCGGGGACGGTCCCACGACGCACCCCAGAAGCGTCCAGGTGCGGTCAGAACTCGCGGAGACCAGAGGTCTGAGGCTTGTGGGCAGTCTTTTATCGCGCCGAGGGGCCTGACGACACTCCACTCCTGGTCTTCGGCGCGGTGGGGATTTGTTGTAGTGCAGGCATCTGGGGGATTGGAGCTGCGGGAGTTGGCATCGAAGCAGAGAGTACCCAAACAGTCTGCGGCGTTTTTTCTGGCTGCCAACTTCTTCATCGATACCGTCAAATGCGGTGGCGGGACCAGTGTTAGTCAGAACGCTTGGGGCCAGAGGGAGCGAAGTACTGAATGATTTGTGATCCTGGTGGGTGGTTCGGCGTATTTAGCAGCATTCGCAGTATATGCTGGTTCCTTTTCCAAGCGTTGTTCGGTCCCGAGGGTGAGCTTTCCCAGTGGAAGGCCTTCTCATTTCGAGATCCTACGCAGTCGATCTGGCCAGCTGAAGGAACAGTTACTGAGTGAATTGCATGTTCGTCGTCGTGGGGCCAAGCTTCATTCTCCTGCCTCGCCATCCCCTCCTCTCCTCCCGTCATCCTTCTGTGCCTTCCTGAAACACCTGCTGCTGTTGCTCCTGCTCCCCTTCGTCTACCCGAACAAGTGTGATAAAAGCACGTGTGATACAAAAAACAAGTGTGATACAAAAACGTGTGACAAAAAAGCAAGTGTGATAAAAACAAGTGTGATAACACAGTTTTTTTTCTCACAGTTTTCTATCACACCTGTTTTTATCACACGTCCTATGGTTTTTCGTGTTTTATCTTCGCTGCGACACCTGGTCTTCGTGCTTGCCGACGTCCTGGCCCACGTCCTCGGCCGGCCCCCCCCCCCCAGCGACGGAGGCGGTGCGGCGCGCCGAAGCCAGAGGGCGTCACGCAGGCCGTGACCGGTGGGCCAGCAACCGTTGGAGGATCCGCTCCGCATGCCAGGCGTCGGGTGTTGCCAGGGGTAGTCCCGGCCTGAGGTTTCCCCGGCTTCTCGCGCCGATCTGGAGTTCCCGGGCCCTCGCTGGGCCTCGTGAGCGGTGCCTTGAAAGCCGTGGGTGCCGTCCTGGAAATCCTGGGTTCACCTTGGACCAGGGTCACCTCTGGCAGCACCAGACCAGACGGGAAGAGAGGAACGAAGGCGGCAATGGAGCTCGAAAAGTAATATGGCAAGCCCCAGATGGGACACACAATCGATCGGGGGGCAGCGGCGCGGAGTAGGATGCGGATGGTGGGGTAATGGGGGCTACATGTGTCATCGACCTCCATGAGGGAAATGACGGAAATCATAGTGTGGACACAATTGGCAGTAGTAGTGATTAGTAATTAGTAATTAGTAGTAGTAGTAGTAGTAGTAGTAGTAGTAGTAGTAGTCGTAGTAGTAGTAGTAGTAGTAGTAGTAGTAGTAGTAGTAGTAGTAGTAGTAGTCGTAGTAGTAGTAGTAGTAGTAGTCGTCGTTAGTAGTAGTAAGTAGTAGTAGTAGTAGTAGTAGTAGTAGTAGTAGTAGTAGTAGTAAGTAGTAGTAGTAATAAAAGTAGTTTGTAGTAGTAGTATCGTAGTAGTAGTAGTAGATATAAGTAGTAGTAGTAGTAGTAGTAGTAGTAAGTAGTAGTAGTATGCGTGTCGTCGTCGTCGTATCGTAGTAGTAGTAGTAGTAGTTCGGAGTCGTAGTAGCGTAGTCGTAGTCTATTCGTAGTCGAGTCGTAGTCGTAGTCGTAGTCGTAGTCTAGTCGTAGTCGTA